TGATTTCTACAGAACGTTCATTATATTTCCTATCACTGAATTCTTCAATAAAAATACAAGCAAAATAAAGTGAAACAACGGATATTTGCCCTAATAAGCAGTACTGTCAACATATACTGAAATATACAACTGCATACGAAAAGCAACATGAATATAATTGATATCTGCAGGAAAGAAATAAAGAGATTTATATTTTGCATTTCATGTTCAATTATTAAACAATAAGATGTTTCTGTGCACTGTAAAATAAATTGCTATATTATTGTTTTTTAATTTCCTGTCCTGCACAAACAAAATGTCATATGTTTATTTCCGACACTTTTAAATGCAGAGACTATTGTTTATCGTATCCGCTTGCAGAATACATATTTTTATGCACAAATCAATGATTCACTACAATAATGTAATAGATTTTCCCCATACCTCTTAAAATGCTTGAGACAAAATTGCTAAATTCTGTATTTCTGGGGTAAGGGGGACTGCAACTGGCTTCATTTCATATGTAATCCTTTATAATTAGGCATTACATTCGTAGGTGAGCTGACGCGTTTCACTATTTATTTAAAGGCATATGAAAATTTCCTATACACCATGTTTATACACTCGTGTCAAAATGAAAAGAATTAGCAAATTATGTGGAATTTTTGAAGATCCAATGGACAGATTTTAATTAAATTTAGGATGAATTATATTTTTATACCAGAGAAAGACATGTACCATTAAAAAAATTTAAGCGCGCATGATTCAAGCTATTCCTGCACCATGAGTAAAGCTCATGGTGGGGATGACCAAAATCCACATTGTTATATTAAGCTGAGAATTAGCCTAATATGGGATATGGTCCTGTCTCCCAGCCAGACAGATCGCGCAGCTTGACAGCATACTGGACAGAAGGCAGTTGAGGAGTCCCTCTGGCAGTCGATCTTATTCTTGTAGCAAGAAAGTTTTCAACTCCGGGATGGTTCTCGAAGTGAAATGGCAAGAGGAAATTCCTCTCCTAGAGAGTCTCAGACAAGCTCTATAGGGTTAAATTTCAGCAGATCTAGCTATTCAATCCATGCGGTGAATATCCTCACTTTCAAGGTGATCGTCGACAAGCTTATCTCTATGTGGACGAACGTTGTCGTCCATTAACAGGAACTAAGGACCAACTGCGCTCCTGAAAATACGAAATTAGGGCTCTAATATCTCCTCTCTGTACCTCATAGCAATCGGGAAACCTTTGTCAAGGTGTGTCAAGGTGTGTGCGAGCGTCATGTTCCTAACACGTGCTCGTTGTACCCCTGCTGAGAAAATACTGAATCAATATTGGCTGATCCCATTGATGTGTAATAGCGTCACTTGTTTGGTCATGTGACATGAAAGACATCGATGGAAACCGAAGCGTACTATGGAACATGTTGTAAAAGGTAATTTATTCGTTACTGGATAAAACTAAATAAACTTTGTAATCATATACAATTCGAAATTAACAATAAACCATTAAAAAGTATAACTGATAAATAATATAGAACACGGAGTTCTTCAGTAATAAACGCTGGCAGTATTTTATTTGGACAACATAACAGATGTTTACTAGGAAGAGAAATTTCGTCGAACAAAATGTATAACGATGTAAAGGAAATTTCGTTACTAGAACATAAAAGTATTCATAATTGTACTTTAAGAATATTGCCGTATGTTTTTCAAAAGTCAGGAGATGTGAAAGAGCATGAAATATATTTTATTCAAATTTTGTGGAGTGGGAGCTTGACATGAAGGGATATTTTTATTTATTTTATAATAAAACAAGACTGCCTTTGTATTTTTGAAACTTTTTGGCGGAAGAAGGGTTCAGTGTTTTAACATTTCATTGGTACATTAATATTTACTGAAAGCAAAATTATAAAATGGAATACTGTTAACATTTACATTAAGGACTGAAATTCTGAAAAAGAATATTATTTTTGATTATTTGAAAATATAAAGCAACTTCTAATGATGTCTGTCTTTTAAAGAGGTAAGTGAAGACAAAGCGGAGCATTTCTTTGTCTCCAATAACATATCGAAAATCATTCAATTTTGGTCTTGGATATGTGAATTCAGCTGCATACTAAGTTATGCAAATAACATGGAAAAAATAAGCATTAAAAATTGAGAAAACATTTATGATATTTCTGGTATTTTTCAAGCTTGTATGCATAAAGTATAAATATATATATTAATATATAAATTAATTCAGTTGTACAATAAATTCATCCCATGACTTTTTAACTGATTTTTAAGGGATTAAAACATTACCACTGTACGGCCAACATCCCTTAAGGTATCTGCCTACGTTAAAAAAACGATTTCGGCGAAAAAATTCGATTTTTTTTAATTGCCCAATTTGAAAGGTCAAGTTTTGTAAGATTCCAAAAATAGGTTCATTTTTACGTTTGCGATAATTAGAAGAGAAGATATAGACCAATTAACTGCACTGGAAGTTGAAAGCAGAAAGACCGGAAGTGCCATTTAACAATGGCTCAACTTAAAAATAAACAAGTGTTTTATCCGTGGTTTTTTTTTTTTTTTTTACCTGTTTGTGTGTTAAATTGTGCTAAAACATTTCATTTTAATTCTGGGTACTTTTTTTTGTTTCTGCTAATAATTATTTGCCTTAATTTTTTGAATTAGGACTGGAACATTGCGATTTTTTGAACTGGGTCTGGCAATATTGCGATTAGGTATAAAGACTATGTTGCTGGGTGCATATATAGCAGTTTTAATTTTTAATTCAGGGTATCTTGGATTACTTCCTGTGTTTGAACATTTAGGCATATCAATTGAACAAGAAATGATTAAAAATTACTTGGAATTGATAACGAAAGAATAAAGAACTCGAAAATTCATTCGTCGCTCATTTCGAAAATAGCCAGAAAAAAATTAAAATCAAATAGGAAATCAAAATTACTTAAATATAAAGATATGGAGGGTGTGATGTACAAATGTGGAGAATTTAAGTGTGTAAATACAACAGAACAGTTTTTCTGTTAATGTGAATCTTTAAATGCGTTTTCTGAAAAACTAATTTTTCTAGTGTTTTTACATACAAGAAATGTAATTACTCAAAAATGTTCTAAGATATCTCTATTAAATTTCACTAAAATGTTTTCTATATTATTTATTAGGTTTTAAGCTACAATCTAAGTAATATTTATTAATTTAATGTTTTATAAGTATTTCTATATAAAACGATAAGAATATTTTACAAAAAACTGTGTTTTTTCATGTAATTACACATATTTTAGTAAATTTTAGAAATATCATATCATTTTAGTTCATAACACAGATAAGTGTTGTAGTAGTATACAGTATAAAAAAAATTGAAATATATGCTGTGGAAAAAATATACGGCATTTATTTTACGTAAGTGTTAAATTCTCCTAAAAATTTGCATAAAATTGCATATATTTCAAAAATTTATAAAAATATTCCTAAAAATTTACCTATTTTCAATGATTTGATATCATATTTTGACTAAATAAATATATATTTCATCAGAATTCTATGTTTTTAAAAAAAAGTGCTCCGAACGTAGGCAGATACCTTAATAAAAGATGTTTTATTACAGGGCTATACAAATTGTTTTTGAAGGAGAATCTTAACAAACATCCTAAGTTTTACCACGTGACAAAACAAATGACACATAAAGCTCTATGTTATGTCTTTATTCTTTTAAACAGTAGTAGCGAAGCAGCTATCACAGCAGGGGGTACAGCGAGTACATTTTAGGACCATACGTGAGGGCGTCCAATACAATGCCTGCCCAAACCATAACGCCTCCATCACCGTAATGATCCATTTCCCTAATGAGGGAGGGATAGTATCGCGTTCTACGTTCTCTCCGGGTACAGGAACGCCGAAAAGCAGTGTCTGGACTAAATCTCCACTCATCTGTAAAAGGAGCAGTGCTCCACTAAAGTTTGATCAAAGGCGCATATTGTTCGCACCAATCTAAATGTGCTCTGTTGTGCACTGCAGTGAGTAGGACGCAAACAGCGAGACTTCTGGCATAATCCCTACCTTATGGAGCCTTTGGGGAATAGTAGACTGTGAAACCCGGGTTCCAGTGGCAGCATACAGCTCACGTGAGAGCTATGACGGGGAAGCAGTCCTGGATCGCTATCCAGAAGTGCCAAATATCGATCCTCATTCGTGGTTGTGGATCTTGGTCAACCTTTTCCAGGGCTGACACTTGGCATTACACTGAATTCTGTAGCCGGTGCTTGTGATTGGCCTGCCTCCAATCTACCTACAATTCTCCATCTCATTCCGTCATCCATATGTTCGTGGCTATTCATTTTACCTTATAAAATTTACTCAACACTTGTGAGAATCTTGGCGAACTTCGTGAAGGAGCACGAGCACACAAATTGCCGAAAAACTCTCGTATGCTTTTACCCCATCCACAGTCACAACTCCAAAGACTCGCATATGCACACTTACGAACTCGATTCTGAATATGGATTATTCTTCGGCGGCATAATTAGTACTTTTGATATTTCAATACTTTTCTCAAAAATAGATATAATTTGCAAATTCTCTTAATTTTGCACACGAGCTTACGACGTATGTTAAAATCTTTCAAGATGTTTTAAGAATAGAGATCGCCCCACTAGTATTACATCTATCACCTTCCGAAATTTCGTAATTTTTGAAAATTTTTAAACATAGGATTTTCTGTATATGTTATTTCTTAGAAAGATATTACAGCTGCAAAATAAATAAATACTCTTGCTGTAAGCTTACAGAAATGCATAACCGAGCAATGATAAAAATCATATCATTGCATGAAAAGAATATTGATTTATGTAAAATTAAGATCAAGATTTCAGAGGTTGACGAAAAGAATCTATGATGAAACTCCCTTGAGTAGTTACGTTTCTGATGTCCCGAATATAGTAATACTGAATCAATTTGTCGAAAATAAATTGAATAAAAGTGTTATAAACAGTAAAATCTGAAAAGTCTCTACATACCATATTTTAAAAAGCTGCGTTGAATTAGGCAAGTCTTGGGAATGTTGCTGAATAATTCCTTTTTTAGCTGATTTGCATCCAGTATAACCTTCAGAATTCTTCAGATATAAAATGCTTTGTATTTGCCTCCGAGTGAATTGAATTGATTCGATTTGTTCCTGTGTTAAACCTAGGGAATATCAGATAACCAGTAAGATAATCTAACAATAAAAAAGCAATAACAGGAAACATTTCGTAAATCATAAAACAACTCAAAGTATTTAATAACCATAGTTTAAATATTTCACAGAATAGTGCTCTGCAAATAATTATATTTCGAAGACGATTCAGATTTATTGAAGATAATGTAATTATGTTAGTTTAACTTTTCATTGCACTTTGTTGCTATCATTATAATTTGATGTATAAAACCTATAATAGAGTGGCAATTATTTTAAAATTTTACTGATAGTTTAATTTAAACACTTTGTTGTCTTCTCTTGACCCACATCATATTATTCGCTTAGACCAAAAAGTAATGCTAATTAAGAGCACATAAGAGAGAGCTTAAAATGGTTAACTCACATCTAATGAAGGAAAAGCTTATAGGACAGGTTGTTTGTAGTTAATGTTATTCTTAAGTAGAAATCTATGTTTCAGTTCTATGTTCTAATTTTAGTTGAAACCCACCAAAGTGAAGTTTTTATTGAATTTTAAAATCTGTAATGTGAGAAAATTGATTATAATCATAGTCATAACTCGTAGACAGCAAGATGTGACTCTGCGATAAATGCGGTCAGGTTGGCATACTTTTAAAATAGTTTAGTAGCAGAATTCCAGAGCATTTGTTTAATTCTCGCAACAATATATGTAAGTATTATGCCTGGAATAATCGCTGCCTAATTCCTCAAGATAAGTAAGTTTTAATCAACAACCATTTTCAGAATGAAGTACGCCATTCTATTGTCAACATCATAGACACTTCTTTTGACAAATTTATAAATTTGGTGATGTCAAGAAAGGTGCTGTACGAACCAGCTACCTTATGTAATGTCAAATTCTTCCAATATATTTAAGAATTTCCTGAATATAAATATCAAAAGACACTGTAAATTAATCTCGACCCGTTCAGATTCTGAAACTAAAACACTTATAGCCACCGATCATATTCTTCAACATGCAGTTTCCAGTTTCCAAATTTATCCTTAAATAAAAATAATATATACATGATTGCGCAATGTAAAAAGAAGCCTACTTGACAATTCAAGACCAAACTGGCAGCTTATAAGATATTTGAAATACTGCTTTTAAATCACCATAAAAATTTTGGTATGATTTCTCTCAGAAGTACACGTTATTTTCAGTTTCTTATTTCTACGCTTTTTGAACTTTGATTACGTGAAAACATATTTAATTCAATTGCAGTCTAAACATTCAGTTGCAAATTTAACAAATCTGAGTTGTCTGAAGCTAATCTGAGCAACATGTAATTGGTTATAACTCATAATTTGAATGTTATATGAATATAAGCGTTTCTCTTGAATAAAAATTTAGTAAACATGCATAGATATTGTTGAAAAATCACTTCGACAGACACATAAGAGTAGTTGAAAATTCACTTAGATGGATGCATAAGAGCAGTTGAAAATTCACTTCGACAGATACATAAGAGTAGTTAAAAACAAAGGCAGAATAATTTCAATCTAAAATTTGAACTTTGGTGAATGCTAGTAGTTTTGTTCTAAAATGAGAGGCACTTAATTTTAGTTAAAATTGATGAAATGGTAAGGTTTGGCTATTAATAATGCTAAAGAGATAAATTTAAGCATTTGCAAAGGCATAAAGCACAAAAATGATACATTTTAAACAGTAAATTTTTGTCACTTACGATGTAATTTATTAGACTAAAGTTCAGAGCTAACTTTTACTGTTGAATAATCAAATTAATTTAAAATGTGTAATGTGTGAAATAACAATATGGCTGAAATAGGAGAAACTGTCCAACTCTTACTTATTGTAAAATTTTTAACAATCTCATAAATTATTAACTAATTCTTTCAAACGTTAATACAAATATTAATTTGTAAAATAAGCGGTGCTACTTTGGTAGACGGTTGCACGGATTTTGGCGATTTTTTTTGGCGAGCGATACGACTTATGGTAAACCCATTGTTGGATAAGTTATTTATGGTAACCGATACTTTGTTGTCATTTTATTTAAAAAATAATGCGTTTTATTAAGCATAAATTCCGTGTTTTAAATATTATTTATGACTTCTAAATAATAAAAATGAATTTAATTTACATTTTTATTGAAATAAAAATTTTATTGTTTATGATATTTATGGAATTTTATGCTGTGAATGATGTAATATGACGTCACATTATTTTAAAAGTAATTGGTTTAATACCTATAAATTTAATCCAATGTTTTAAACATTATTTATGGCTGTTAAATATTAAAATACAATTTAATTTTGAATTTTTTTAAAATATGATTTTATTATGAATGATTGTTTAAATAATTTTAATTCTATGCACCGTGATGTAATCAGCTCCCTGATTGGTTACTGAATATTTGTGCATTACCGTGCCATTTTAAAATTTTATTCTTCATCTCTTTGAATTCCTCAGATTTCAAAGCGAATGGATGTGTCCGTTTCGAAGATGAATGTTGTTATTGTTAATTACCAAGAATTATTGGTATCGGAATAAAAAAATTGCCCTTTGAGACCTTATTTTGGCCGTCCTGGCTTTCCTAATCAAAGATTTATTTATTGTTACAAGGATCAGAGGAAATTTATTTTAAATTTTTGGAGGAAACCTCGCTAATTGCTTCTTCAATGAAGTGCGAGAGATGTGAATCACAGATAAAGATCTTTTTTTTTTTTTTTTTTTCTTCTCTCTTGTACTTATCAATATACGGATAGGTAAAATACTTTAAAAAAAATGTAAGTACATATTTTTCTTTTACTTTATAAATGTATACTTCAATTTTTATTAAAAAATTAATACACTGTTTTCAAAAATTCCTGAGATATTTATTCCCACATATGTTTTAATGTCAAATAATTATATCCTTATAAAACTTATTTTAAAGGATTTGAATTTAAGTAATTGAAAAATTTTAATTCTTTTAAACGTCAGTATGATGTTTTTAATTCGATATTCAATTTACGTAATATTTTTTTCCAATTAAATGTTGGCGCCATGTTTTTATAGCGGTGTTTTTATTCTATTATATGAAAAATAATAATTTAACCTCATTTTAGCATTTTATTCTCTTAGTAAATGTATTTACTATTTACATTTGCGAGCCATTTTAAAAAACAACGTTTTCAACAAAAAATTAATCCATTATTTTTAACGATATTTATTTTTTTAAAGTTTCGAATACTTTTATTTTATTATGTGTGAAATACGTAAAAACTGCAGTTTTCAAGATGGCTGACGACTGTAAAAACCGCGCCAATGTAAATCGCCAAAAATCCGTGCAACCGTCTACCAAAGTAGCACCAAATAAGCATAAGTTTAATATTACAACTCATAAATTTAAAATTATTATAAACCTAATTTATATATTAGAAGTTATAAAACAATTTTTATAAAGTAAAAAAGAAATTTAAAATCCATATAAAATAATAATAAATATTCTGTGGAAAAATTAAATAAAAAAGTTATGAATTAAAAACATTAAAGCATTTCAGAATACAATCATTTTTTAACATGCAAGATTTAAAACATTTTAAGATCTAAGGTAATAAAATAGTATGGATTTTTAATAATAAGAATACCTCTCAGAATTTATGATTTAGCTCATGTTAAAATGTTCATGTAACATCCAATGAAGCATATTTGCCTTGAACATGGTAAAATAAAATATCATGATTACTATTTTAAAAATAAATTTTATTACAAATACATTTCAAGGAAGTTTTTATTTTATCAAATACGATGTTACCTTCAAACTATACACTTGTTTATGAACTTAGAAACTAATTTAAAATTAACACTTCAGGAAAAAGGTATTTTATTTCCTATAGGATAAGAAATTCATAAAAACAAGAAAGAGGAAAACAGCAAGGTGATTTCAGGAGAAGGAAAATATATCGTACGTTATTTCTTCGAAAAAACTTACTTTGTTAGCGTGACCATTATGCTATAGAAAGTGCATAACATTGAAATTCTTATGAGAGGAAAATTATCATTATTTTCTCTCTTCCAGTTCAAGAAACGTGTTTATTGATTATCACTTTAGTTGTGTAGAAGTCTGATTAGAAATTTCAAAATAAAGCACACAATACAAACCACATTTTAACACGTATAAAATTCAATCTAAGAAGTAATTTTTCACACGTCCGCAACATTTAATTCATTAAGGTAAAAACAAAATGATTTTTGTTTACGCTTACACATTTTTTCATTTGAGTTATGTAGCAAGAATCAACCGTAGTTTATTTTCTGAGCAAAATATATATTTTGATCTGAATAGTTAACTTTACTGAGTGGCAACGATTGAAATAAATGGTAAATCTCAATCGTTTTAGATGAGCGAAAATAACAAGCAACAGGATAAAAAATCCATTTTTAGTCCAAAGGGGCTGTTCTAAACTTAATATGTTTCACAAACAACAATCAATCAACAAATGGACTGTATTCCTACACTTTTATTAAATTACACTTGTCAGCGATGCGAAATAATTGATACAAAATAAGCGAGCCATTCTACATGGCTGTCACAAACACAATTCTCTCAATCAATTATCTTGTTGCCACACATAAAGTTCAAAACTAAAAGAAGAAAAACAAAAGGAATTTACGCTGTTTGCAACAATAAAATGAAGCAAACGATACTCACATAAACATCCTGGCCCTCGTCTCCTGGACAGTTGGAGCATTTTGAAACTTCTTAGTCTGTAATAAAGATAAACATAAGAAAAAATAATACAAAATATTATATGCGAAGCAGTTCATAGTTTTTTAGTCTCAATAGGAAGAGGACACAATTTCACGACTGGTCGTTTTATGACACCATGACCAGTTTTAATACTAGCAACTCTGACTCTTGATCTGAGCCCGGATGAACAGCAATTATTCTCCCTAACCTCCATTTAAGAGGCGGAAGGTTGTCTTCTTTGATGAGGACTAAGTCATTGACTTCTAAATTGTTTTGACTTTTTTGCCATTTAGGTTTTTGTTTGAAGCTGAGACAGGTATTCTCTACTCCATCTTTTCCAGAAATGCTGATGAAAAATAAACTGTCTTCACATGCCATCTGTCAAGGTGATTGAAGGAACTATAATTTAGGTCTGGTTCAGGTATGGCAGTTAAAGACGTTCCTATTAGGAAATGACCAGGTGTTAATGCAGTTAAATCATTTGGATCAGCCGATGTTGGACACAATGGCCTAGAGTTGAGACAAGCCTCAACCTGCGCTATCAAGGTCTGAAATTCCGGATAGGTCAGCACAGTATCACCAACAGTCCTTTTTAGATGTAATTTCATTGACTTTACTGCCGATTCCCATAGTCCACCAAAATGGGGAGATGATGGCGGGTTGAATATATCCATTTTATTTCCTCTAAAGACAAAAATTTGTGAATTTCTTGATTTGCTTACATTGCAAAAAACATTTTCTGATTTCTTTGTCTGCACCTTTAAAAGTTAGTACCGCAGTCACTATAAATCTCAAATGGTTTCCCTCTTCTTGCAATAAATCGTTTCAATGCACTTAAAAAAATGCCTTTGTTGACAAATCTTCTACCACTTCAAGATGTACTGCCTTGATTACAAACACACATAATTAAGCATACGTTAGCATTTAAATGATTTTTGTCCACGTCCTGCACGATGTTTAATCATGAACGGTCCACAAAAATCTATTCCAGTTCGATGAAATGGTCGCGATTGTGTTACTCTAGATAGATTCCCGGTAGATCAGCCATTATTTGACTTGCAGTTTTAGCTCTAAGTTTACAACACGTAATACAAGATTTCACTACTTTTCGGATAGCAGATCTAGCAGCTATGATCCAAAATTGCTGTCTAATTAAAGATAGAAGAAGTTCCGGTGCTGCATGCAGATATTTGACATGAAAGTGTCTAATTATGATTTCTGTCAGATTGTGTTTTGAAGGTAATAAGATTGGATGTTTTTCATTTTCTGATAGGTTGCGCATTTTTCAGTCTTCCTCCTACACGTAACACTTTGTTGTCATCTAAAATTGGACACAAGCTAAGGAGGTTGCTGTTTGTAGGTAAGTCCTTTCCCAACTCCAAACATTGAATTTCTTTAAAAAAGTGAAATCGCTGTATTATTCGGACAATACAGAAAGTTGCAGCTCGAATTTCATTACTAGATAAAAAAGACGTATTTCTTCTAGATATGCTACTTTAGAATTCGATATGAATCTTAATATCCAAGCAAATATGCGTTGTAACTTTGGAAATGAAGATATATTTGATATAATAGCAAGTTCCTGTACAGGTTCAGAAACTACAAATGAGACTGTTTTACGTGCATCTGGTGATGCCTCTTCATCTATAAGAATATTTTTAGATAAGGCAATCTCACTGCACTTTAACCAAGAAGGACCATTCCACCACAATTGATGAGATAATAGTTCTGCAGGAAAAACCCACGTGAAGCACAATCAGCTGGATTTTCCTTTCCATCAACATGACTCCAGTTTCAGGTGGTAAGATGGATTGTATTTCAGAAACTCTATTGGATACGAATACTTGCCATTTTTTTTTAGGATCTGACCTTAGCCATGACAACACGATTTGTGAATCACTCCAAGCTTGCACTAAATCAAAATTTATAACTAATGCGCTTTTACAGACTGAATAACATGCCAATAACACTGCTGCATAATTCCAGTCTTGGAATCGTAATAGATTTTAATGGTGCTACACGAGTTTAGCTGTTACGAGTTTAAACATTAATGTCAGAGTTATTGCAAGTTTTGATATAAATAACTGCTGCATAACCTCTTTCAGACGCATCACAAAATCCGTGAAGTTCACATCGAAAATAATCAGGTAGCAGAATTTTCCTAGGTATATTTATAGAATTCAAAAGTTTAACTTCTCTACATAGATTTCTCCAATTTCGATCAATCTCTTCTGTTACAGGATCATCCCATGATAACTGTAATTTCCACAATTGCTGAAGGATCATTTTAGCGAGAATTACAAACGGAGCTATCCACCCAATCGATCGAATAGTTTTGCTACGAATGACAAAATAATTCTTTTAGTCGGAACACTTTGATACTCTATTACACCGACATTACATTTGAATTCATCATTGTCCGGATGCCATTCCAATCCCAGAACTTTCAATGGTTTGTCTTCTATTACACTATGAATATTGTCACTATCTGTGTTTGTTAAGCCAGAGGTTTTTTAACAATGACGGTTCACTTGTCGACCATTGTGAAGCTCAAAGCCACCACTTTTTAGCAGATGTTGCAATTCGTCTATCAATGCAATACCTTCCGAACTATTTTTACACCAGTACATATCAACATAAAAAATCTCTTAAAACTATATCTTTGCCTTTGGAAAGTTCAATCCTTCATCAATCGCTAACTGACTCAAAACTTTGGTTGCAAGATATGGAGCAGCTGCAGTTCCATATGTAACTGTTTTTCAAACGACAAACTTGTATTGTTTAGGGCTATCTCTCCATAATATTCTCTGAAAATCTCTATCTTTTTCATGAACCCTTTATGTCTGTACATCATTTAAATCACGGTTATTGCAATGTTATGAAGTCTAAAATCTTAGTAAAATACAAATTAAGTCATCTTGTATTTTTGGGCCTATCATTAGTGTATCATTTAAAGAAATCACCTGTGGTTGTTTTAGCGCTCGCATCGAAAACAACTCTCAATTTTGTTTGTTAAGCTAGAGTCCTTCAACACGAAGTGATGTGGGATACAATAGTGTTTATTCTCTAATTCATAATCTGTGTCTGGCACTAATTCTACGTGCTCTAGTGAAAAGTACTCTTTCATAATATGAATATACTGGTTGTAAATTTCTTTCATAGATAACTGCCTCTTCTCCAAGTATTGAAATCTTCTGTGCGACATTTCACGGGAGTCACCT